TTTTATTTTATTTTTATTTAGTTATTTTTATTATTTTTTTTTTTAACCAGTATTCTAACTAATAATACTTACAAAGTCTTGGTCCACCACCGAACGGAATATATGCATTCCTATCAGCCTTCATTTTATATCCCTCTAAATGTCTAGCAGGCATAAATTTCTCCGGGTTTTCCCAATTATTTGGATGTGTTTGTGTTCCATAAACGTTAATAAATACCGAAGTTCCTGCTTTCCATCTCATTCCACCCAAGGTATCGTCATTTGTTGCCATCTTCCAGAGGAATGGTAATACTGGATTTAGACGTAATACTTCTTTGATGAATGCTTCTGTATATTTTAATTTATCAAGAGATTCAAACGGAATTGATTTCATTGGATCAGAACCTAGAACTTCATCAAGTTCCTGAAGAACTTTGGCTTTCTCATGTGGATTCTTACACATATGCCATATGATATAGCAGAACGAATCTGATGTCTATGTAAGAAATATATTTATTAGCACTAATAATAAACAGAACATAATAATGAATAATACACGATAGAGATGTACCGTATCAATGCCAACGCTGAAGATTTCTTTGAGATCAGCACGTATCTCATCTTCAGCCATCGGACGTGTAATATCCCCCGTAGAAATTATTCCAAGATCACGAGGTGTATTTGTTGTCAACAACAAAGTTAACATGTCCGGATTCAAGGGCTCTTCAATAGGCGTTGCATCAATTTCGGCTTTTCTTTTTCTAATAATCGACAACAGTATCTCATTGAATCGCTTAACTTGATTAACATATTTAGTGTTATACCGTCTTAAAATATAATGACGAATAAAAGGTGGAAAGAAGAACATAAATGAGGCGGCGAAAAATTCATTTTTAATAGAAAATATGATCTCTTCGGTAGCATCAAGAAGTTCTTTAGGATGATCAGTTTGTTTGTTCTTCGGAACTAATGTATTATAATATCCAGCCATAGCATGAGCTGACTTTCCAGTAGCTGAAAGATGCATACTATCCACGAAAAACCTAAACCAAAACTTTGACATATCAACTGGAATTTCACCACCAAGAGTATTAAGATATAATTCGGCTTGCATAAACAATTTTTCAGTGGAAGATATAGATTTTTTCAAAAATTTTGGTGACATTACAACAGTACTAAAGAATCTTCTATTAAATTTCCAAGATTCATAATCACGATTTGCAGCAATTCCAACGGTTTCAAGACCAATTTCTCTCATCCCGGGACTTGATACACCACGATTAAAATAATTATTTTTTGTAGAGCTTGCCAAAACCGGTGCTGCGAGGTCGGCACGGCCTAACCAAATCGTTCGTTGACTGCCATAATAAGTTTCGAACATATCACCATGTTTACCTTGGAGCTTGTGAGCCCAAGCTGCAAGATCACTGCCCATCTGATGCTAGATAATAAAAATGGAAATTTGTTAAATTTAAGAATCTATTAAGTCTTTTAATAAAAAAAAAAGTCATACATACTAGATTTCCGATTATCGGCCAGGGTATAGGCCCCGGAAGGGGGTTCTCCCTGGTGAAATATCGATAATAGAAATGCGCCACATAGACACATAAGAGTACCGTGACTACCGAGAGCCACTCGGAAGCTTGGAGTGAAGAGAGGTAAGATGCAATTGACATTTTTCGGATTTAAGGATATTTACTTTAAAGGCTCTCGATGTCGTGTCGTGAAAAATTACAAAAAATATATGAAAAATATAAATGAGTGATTAACTGTTGGAAGTTAGATATGGACGAAATCCTGCCTCCCTCTGCTTTTTATAGGAATTTGTATGTACATGCGTTCATTTATCCTATATTGTTCATAAAAAATTGTCTTTCTTTGACAACCTTAAAGTAAAACTTAATGCTGTAGTATTTGTTATTTTTGGATATTTATGTGGATCATGACGTTTCAATTGTCCCGCGTTCGCATTCAGTATTATTCTTTGCTTTAAAATCTAGTACATACGCACTATATACACATATACATCTTGTATTACATAGCGAACAAAATAATACTATAATAGTACCAAAGCATTTATTAATAACTATTGTCTATATGCTTATGGAATTTATTAAGTTCGATAAGTTACTAAAAACAATGCAATCAAATTGAACAATAATTTAATTGTACAATGTTTAATATGATATTATTAAAAACGAAAATTATTGGTTTTTGTTATTTTATTAATTTATAACTTGTTTATAAAAAGTAGTATTGGTATTACTGTATTATTGTTTTTAGTAATGCGCTGAAACAATATTACAAAGTGCACAATACATGATTTCCGGAATTATGTGTCACGTGATCTGGGTCGATTTTGTTTCTTAAAATTCTAAACATATACAGACCTGCGTAAGATCCTTCATAAGCATTTAGAATTGAGGCCCGAAACTTTAATATCTAGATTTACTTCAATAATTTTTTTTCCTTTAAAAAATTAAATATATCTATAATCATGATTAGAGTGCATAAAAGTTTATGCTTCACATTTAGATCATAAACATCACATGTTTAAAAGGCGAAAATGTTTATTGTCATCATATGCACCAATTTTTGGAATTAGACTAAAACAGATACGTATATAATTTGACTTTTTTGGCAGCCATTAATTTTTGATTCACTAAAAATACTACGTATCGGTATGATATTTTGGCCTGATGACTAATGATTAGTCATTGGTTATTTCGAATACCAATGCCTAAATGACAGAAGGTTAATTGATGTTCTAACACTTTTTAACAAATCAAAATTGGTTACAGGATAAATGCAAATTTTTATATATGATAAAAAAACAATTAATAATCGTAATTCTTTTGAAAATCAATTTTTATCAAGCTAGTCAATATTTGTGCTCCAAGTAAAGCTTCAAAATAACAAATTGCATACACTTCGAAAGTTTCATGTAATTTGAATAACTTTTTTTCGCATTTATGGAAGATTATTTCGCATTTATGGAAGATTAAGAATTTTTTTAAATGTGAAACGCGGAATTAATAAAGTTATTCAAATTACATGAAACTTTTAAAGTATATGCAATTTGTTATTCCGAGCAACTTTACTTAATCTAATTCAATAAATTTTTTTTTATTTTGATTCTACAGAACCATAGAATCAAAATAAAAAAAAATTGGTGAACTTGGTTGGGTGATTGTTGAGATATCTTTGTCCAAAGTCTTGAAGTAGATTTTTTATAAAATGTCACGAACACGTGATTTTGGCTAATCAACTTTCAAGTTAGGTGTAACGTTACACGAGTAGGAAAATTCAAAACAAACGTTCGCTCTGTCAAAAAAGCATATTTCTTGAAAATGTGCATAAGAAATCACCTTTTGTGCCTTAACAAAAAATTTTCCCCGAAAAATTTTAGTATATTTCTCTCCAACATCAAATTCTAAAGTAAATGCTAATCCTAACATAAAAGAACTTTAAAAATTATATAGTTCTAGGCCTTTATAGTGAATGGATCTTGTAGTATTTTATGTTTGATACGTGACTTTTAATTTAAAAATCGATTAGTAATCAACTACCTGGCTTTAGACTATCTCCTTATTTGAATAGCATTCGTGATCTTGGCAAATGCCACACTAAGTATTACGTCAGGCATACAATGCTATATTATTTGTCACGGATTATCGTGAAATTTGGATTTACGATTTTTAAAATTATTTGGATAGTTAAGTTAGGATTTAGGGTTAGAATTATTAATAAAAGAGTATAGGTAGATTTGGTAGGGCTTATATTTTCAAATTGAGACCCCCAAATTTCACTATGATCCGATTTCACGATAATCCGTGACATCATTTATTGATATAAACACGAGAAGTTCGCTACCATGCGATTATCTAACAATGAGAAAATCAATATTTAATTTAAACTCGTAATTTTACAATATATTACTTCCCTCAAACACATTTCTAGGTTAATCTACGCCCAATTAGAATCATTATAGCGGATTTAAGGAATATATAGAAAACATACATCAAAAACTAGTATTTAAGTATCAAGCAATATAATTCAGCGACTAAGAAATAATATAAAGCTTTAAAATTGCTAGACCCAACCTAAACTCTAAGAACCCACGGGCTCTCTCCGTCCTTTCTCTCAACTTTACA